ATTTGTAATGAGAATTTATGTACCTTCTTTATTGTATGTGATAAAAGAAGCCAAACAATTATATGTGATATTTATTATATGTGATAAAAGAAGCCAAACAATTATATGTGATATTTATTATATGTCAAACAATTATATGTGATAAAAGAAGCCAATTCGTTTTTTTTATTACTTCAAAATAATAGCAGATTTTGGTGAGCAATGCAATTTTGAAATGATTAATTCTACAGGAAATGGAAACTTCACTACCATTTCTGAAATGTAACAATATAACTTTTTGTTTCCATTTAATATTTACAAATTCTAAAAGCAACAACATATCGCAAAAATAATATCTAAAGAGAGTATAGCAGTAAATTCCAGACTAATGTTAACGGTAGCGCCATCTGCAGATAAGAAGTAACTTCATTAATGCTTGCTTCCGCTTTTCAAAGACAAATTCTGTTTACTAGAAATGACAGTTTGTAATAGCATTGAAAGATGAAAATTCAAGAAATTAAATATTCTTCAAATGACTTTTCTTATGCTGCTGAATCTTAGACATCGGAAAATAAGTAACTATGACAATGAACACATATGTTCTTATTTCGAAATACTACTTATAAGGTTTATTTTGTTTCAAGAAACAAGTGGTTTCTTTTTATCTGTGTGTGTGTGTGGGGGGGGGAAGTAGCAATTTGAGGACAAAGCCTTAATTAGCAGTGTATACGCTTCTTTCGAAACCCTATTTTCAGTTTTATACAAAAATACATTTAAAAATATATACGATAGACATTTTTAGAATAACGAAATTTATTTTCCCCTTTTACAGTGGCTCACATTTGTTCATGGCTATAGTCAGGGGGTGCCAATGATATTAGATTCTGAAATTAAATTTGACTGGAATAAGTACGCCAGTGATCGAATGGAAAGACAGGCTGATCACTGGTAACCTGGCCCAAGAGTTCAAATCGTGTCAAATTGGTTAGCTGTAGGAGCATTTTCGTGTTAATATCCGTGTAAAATGAGACAGTTTCTGTTTGAAAATCTTTCACGAAGACATTCCTTCCTTTAGGAAGGTAGCTGTAATCGAATAATCACATGTTTTTCCCTAATTGAATAAACAAGTAACTAGAAGTGAAATTGAATACATGAGCAAGCAGAGTTTCGGGAATGGGAATAATTGTATTCCTGAAATTTTTTCTGTCTTTTACTTACACCACAATAATTTTAACCCTGACTGCGCTAAATTTCTATAGAACTTATTATTTCTATAGAACTTAACTAATTACTTTTCTATAGAACTTTCTAACTACTTTTCTATTGAACTTAACTAATTATTTCGATTTTTCTTTCTTAAAATAACTTTTGATAGACACTCATCATGCATATAGTCAGCCAAACGATCATCGGTCACTGTTCAGCGCAACCAAATTTGTATTCTCCTCAATGCACTTAATATTACTACCCGTGGTACATGGTTCAGATAAAGAAATGACATATTTAATTTCAAGGAGAAAAAATCGCTACCGCTCCTTTCAGAATTCTTCCAGGGTTAGCACTTTCATGTTTTCAGTCTTTACTTACTATATCCAAAAATCATGCCAAAATTTTCCAAAACACTGCATCGCTTTTGTTAAACTTTTCATCTGGCATCTTTAATATTGATTGCAATGACAATTTAGCTTTTCAAAAATTCATATATCATAACAACAACATAAATGTGAAAAAGAGGCCATGTTCGGAAACGATGTTCGGTGTCACCGACAAAAGAGTTGAGATCTAACTGATGGCAAGTTCCATAGCAGTTCCTTTAATCATAGCTGTAGGAATGCACAACGTTCTTCAATTCATTTAAAAAAAACAATTTATTACTTTCTTTGATATCAGATTTCTAAATTGGCAAGCTAATTTCTAATAGGAGAATTCAAATTTTTTTAATGTAATTTAGTGATAATTAAAGCTTGGCAAGTTGATTTCTAATCGCAGAAGTCACATTTCTTGAATGAAATCTATTGACAGTTAAAACTTGCCAAGTTAGAAATCCAATATCAAAGAAATAAATAAATTATTTTCTAAATGAACTGGCTAACATTGTACATTCCAACAGCTATGATTAAAGGAACTGCTATGGAACTTGCCATTCGTTAGATCTCAACTCTTTTGTTGGTGACACCAACTACACTGAACATTGTTCTCCTGAACTTGATACCTTTTTCATATTTATGTACTTGTTACGATTTAAATTTCAGCAGGCATTTAAACTGGCTGCTAATTATGTTAACAGATGTGAGATGGAAGATTTTGCCCCATCTTAAAATATTAACAAGATTTTTTTTTACGCATTTTCCTTCAATACACGGATGAAAAGCTAGAAAGATGTAAACTGCAATTAGAAATTTTTAATTAAATAAGAGTTTTTCTCAAACAGATCACCAATTAACGTTTATGCATTAAATTTTAGTTGAAATAAAATAAAGCTCGATATATGATAAAAGTGCAATTTGAAGAGAATAAGTTTCCAAACTTAAAAGCATATGAAACTATAATCTTATCTTTACACAAACACATATACAGGGTGATTAAAAAATATTTGGCAAATATACATTCTGTCAGAAAAACATACATGCTCCTCGAAGAATTCGAGCCACAATCATAAAACTCGATAGGAATGTAGTCTCATAAGAGATATACAAATGATTTAAATTTCAAAGCTGAGACAAGGGTAAGCACGTTGCACATAGCGCTCTTAGGCGTATAGTAGGCCTCAGAGAAGCAGGTTGGTCAAACAGGTGTAATGGCTGCCACCTCGGTCGGAGCGATAAGGTAGTTGCTTTGTGTTGCCCACAATGGATCATGGAAGGGATATCTACGCGACAGAGGATCACGCTTCCGATGATCACAAATGAAAGTGAGGATAGCGCAATCATAAGAATGGCCACTTTTGCATCAACTGTGTTGCTAGCATAGATTTGAAGCCATTTTCCACTTTAGGCATCCGGTGGTATCAAAGGAAACCATTTGGAGATGACTGGCCAGTTGCAAAGATTATGGCATGATCTTTCTCAGGGGGTCATACGTTGATTTCACAGGGGGTCATACTTGATTTGATGATACACCGTGTTTTGGCTTGTATAACTGCCAAAGGTGCCTAGACTTACTTACTAATTTAACTTTTTCATACCATAACTTCTTAATAAAACGATCTTTTGTTCTGAATTTGTAATCATTTGTTTATCTCCTCCTACACTACATACATGCTAAGTTTCGTGATAGTAGTTTCTTTCCTTCTGGGTGCATATATTTTTTTGTGACAGAATGTAGAAAACCAAATAAGAGGGTATCGAAATAAGCAGATTTTGTAATGGAACGCTTATAATGAAACAACGCTTTGAGGAGATATTGAACATTGTTGAACGGTACGTAAAAACGTTCTGAAAAAAATCATAATTTCTTTTGAGCATTTCAAGTGGTATGCATTCCTACACAAACATGGAATTTCCCGATATATATTTTATCTATGGGATTGTTGCTAAAACCAGGATTGCCACGCTACCTGGAAAAGTCAGGGAATTCGAAAATTGACCAAAATAATCAGGGAAAAGTTAGGGAATTTAAATATTTTAGTCAAAATCTGGAAAAGTCAGGGAATTTTCACATGGCTGTTTTCCCCCAAAAAGTGAGTTTCGCGCCGACATTGGAAGCGATCACTTTCTTGGTGAAAATATGAATTGGCGAATTATGTATCGCGTGAGCATCATTCAGCCAGCTGGCATACAAGGACCAAAGAAGGGTTCTATTACGGGTTCTTAGGCATGTAGCCTTTATCCCCACATCGTCAAAGAATTATCTTTATCTCCAAAAAGAGGGTTCTGCAAAGAGGTAAATTTAGTGCCAAAATGTTAGTTTAACAAAAAGAGTAACTACCTTCCACAGTGAAAAAAAGATAAAAACACTGAAGGGCTTAATTTAGTAATTTTGGTGTCGAATAAGGGTCAGAATCAATTTGGAGGGGTTACATCCTGAATTTTGAAAAGCATCTATATTTCCTTGATGAATGGTTATGTGGTGTTAACAACATGGGAAAAGCAGGAACTCATTAGGCGAGTTTGAATTAAAGAGACATGGCCAGCAATGCCTCTGAGAAGAAACTTTTATAAATATAATAAGTTGGTAAGATTTTTAAGAAATATCAAATTCTAGAGGGGGGAAAACCTGTTCATTTGCAAAAGAAATTTATAACAACAGTATATCACTCATAATAACGTTGTAGAGGCATAAGTCTTTTTAAAAAAAAAAAAAAAAAAAGCAGGAGACGTAAAAAATATGTAATGCCCTTATTGGCACTTGATTTCTGGACCTCTCAAATGCATGTTGAGTTACCTTATAATGTTACTCCTATGAAGTTTGTTTCAAAACAATATTTAACAGCTAAGAACCACACTGGATTAAAAACAGTGTTTAATGAATATAATTATTAATTATAACATGCATTATTTATTTTCGAATATAATGAACCAACTGTGTTATATATTTTTGAAGGTCAATTACATTTCTAATAAATGAGGCATCATAATCATCATACTTCTAAAAGAAAAATGAATAACATACTAGCAGGTGAAAAAAAGACATGTTTCAAATATAAGAGAGCAAAATATTTTGTGGAAAAAAATTTAAAAATAGTTCTATGCTTATTTATTGACAGATAATTTTTGTTTATAGGTTATTACATGAACTTCCTATATGAGAGGATTCATCTGTACAATTTCTTAAATATTTCCCTGGTCTATACGAAAAAGTTTTAGACTTTTCCAGCATTTTGGAAAATAAATTTCACCAACTCTGCCATTATTCATCAGACTTGAGTGAGAACCCTGTCATGTATTTTGCATTATATTAAATGAGAAGTAAATATTAAAAATAAAGTATTTTCTATAAATTAAATTTTTTGCTAAGTTGTCTCACTTTATTTGGTGGCATTCAGACTGTTTTAAAGCTATGATGATTGAAACGGAGCCAAGAACTTCACAAATATCTTTTTTAATCCAGACTTCACATGCATTTTCAAGATGAAAGAAAATATTTATACACATTATTATATACATATAAGATAATAAAAATATACAGGTTTGAAGGAATGTAATACAGTGAATGATACATTTATAAAACAAAAACTATGATTAATCAGGATTTATCTTGACGTTGGAAGCTACTTTTTTCTATTTTGTTCGATTAAAACAAATGCACCCAAAATAACTCAAACTGTGCTACATGCATTAATATTTGATAAAGTCTGAACTGTAAATAAAATACAAAACCTAGAAGAAAAAATAATTAGTGCAAAAAATATTTAAAGTATCATGAAAAAATTTAATTCATACAAAGACTAGCAATTACTGAAAATAACACACTTTACACAAAATAAAAATCCTTTTATACATGATTTTTACATAAATGATGAAATGCTGACTTTTCGAATGACTCCGTTAGCCTTTATGTCCTGAAAAAGCTTCTGAAAAGAGTTTACAATAATGAAATAAAATATATTTGCACAAAGTTTAAAATAAAGTACAAAGAAAAGAAAATACAGTAAATTTTTTAGCCTTATTTTTCTGTATAAAATCTCTTCATATCAAATATGGCAATTTATAAGAATATACTTCAAGTGCATTCTTCAAGTGCTCTATGAAGGCTATAAAAATGTATTAACAATTCTTATACCTGTTATTTATGTAAGTTGCAGCAGTTCACAATAATACAAAGAGAGCAGAAGATGCTTCAAAATATTTTACAATCTACAATACTGTGACTCACTACAATACTGTGACAGAATAAATAAAAATACTGCATGTTTTTTAGTACTTCAGATCTATATACATATAATTTTTCAATATTTAAGAATAATGTATAATTTTAAAATTACCTCATAAAAGAGGAATTTTTATGAGCGTTATATTTGAACAACTTATTATTTGCAAATTAAATCTTAAAATATACGAGGGCCATCCAGGAAGTAGATTACGTTTCCGTCTGTGTCCGCTAGGGGCGGGGCTAGCGCGGCCATCTTGGGGTCAGAGCGTTGCGCAGCTCAGTCTGCATCTAGCCGTGCTAGTGAGAGGTTCGTGCTGTGCTCCGTTCAGATACTGTGACGGTTTGAAATGTCTGCGTTAATTGAAAATCCCGCGAGCTGCGAGGTGCGCTCAGTAATAAGGTTTCTGACTGCAAAAAACTGTAAACCGATAGAAATCTATCGGCAGCTTCGTGAAGTGTATGGGGACAACATTATCACTGAAGGTGGAGTGCGTCAGTGGGTCATAAGATTTCAAAATGGCCGAACCAATGTTCACGACGAAGATCGAAGTGGGAGAGACCCAGCATAGTGACCGCCGAACTTCTCGAAAAAGTCGATGCTAAAGTCCGTGAAAATCGAAATTTCACAATAACGGAACTTTCTTTGAGTTTTCCACAAATTTCGCGAAGTTTGTTGCACGAAATCATCAGCGAAAAAGCTTGGTTACCACAAGTTTTGTGCAAGATGGATTCCAAAAATCTTGACAGAGGACCACAAAATCAGCGAATGGCTGGCAGCGTTGAACTTTTTGGACGCTTACCATAAGGATGGTGACTCTTTACTCGATCGCATCGTTACTGGTGACGAAACATGGGTGATGAAACATGTGTGAAACTGTGAAAACGAAATTGCAATCAATGCAGTGGGGGGCACACAAGTTCTCCCCAAAAAACCCAAGAATGCATGCAAACAATGTCGGCAAGGAAGATGATGGCGACTGTTTTTTGGGACAGAAAAGGTGTAATTTTGGTGGACTTCCTGGAAAGAGGCACTACAATAAACTCTCAAAGGTATTGCCAAACTCTCCAAAAACTCAGAAGAGCAATTCAAAACAAGCGCAGAGGAGGAATGTTGAGCTCTACGATCTTGTTGATTCACGACAACGCCCGGCCCCCACAAGGCAAATGTCACTCGTAAAGTTCTTGAATCTTTTAAGTGGGAGTTGTTTCCTCATCCGCCGTACAGTCCCGACCTAGCACCGAGCGACTTCCACCTATTCCCAGCAATGAAAAGTGGCTGGCTATGCAGCGTTTTGATGACGACGCACAGCTGCAAGAAGAGGTAACGAAGTGGTTGAAGGCGCAGGCGGCCGAATTTTTCGACGAAGGAATTTCCAAGCTCGTACATCGCTACGATAAATGCCTTAATTTGTATGGTGACTATGTAGAAAAGTAGTATTTGAGTGTGGCTTTCATCTGTATATAATAAAATTTGTTTCCTATACTTTGTTTATTTTTTTATCCCAAAACGTAATCTACTTTCTGGATAGCCCTCGTATAAAACTTTATATCCTTTTTTGCCCTTTCCCTAAATGTGAATTATATCATGTACTGATCATTAATAATGTGACATCAAGTCACATTATTAATGATTACTATATGATATACTTCATGAAAAATTTTAATAGTCAGTAATACCTGATTACTTCTATGTAAAGAAGCCATTAAGGATGTAATAGCTCTTACTGCCATCTCTCTCCTACATTAGCTACCTGATGATGGAGCGAGTTTATTGCATAAATAGTTTTATTATTTTTCCTGAATATAATAAATAAGAATGATTTTTTAAGAAAGTCCCCTAAAATGAAATTCCTTTGTGGATAATTAGTCCTTCAATATCATAATTAATTAACCAAATATGATCAAACTGAAAATTCCAGTCTCCAAAAACTTATTCTTATAAATATAAATAAGAAATATTTAGCTAAAAAATTAGATAGCTTAGAAATTTCTAGTTCACAGCTGAACAAACAATAACTTCATTTTAACAGTATAAACAGTAATTTTAAATAAACATTTTTATAGATAAAGCCTTCTGCTGATCACAGGAGAATTATGAAGCAAGTATGACTTTAACCATTATTGAAATTTTTTTGGAAATATTTTGAATGTATATTGCAACATCCTTACTATTTTTAAGATAATATCATACTTTACTAAAACAGTATTAATTTGTAAATTTCAACACTTCAAAGTTTCTGGGAATTTAACACTCTGCTGTTTTATATATACATAAATGCTTGTAACATATCTTCCGAGTAAGACTAAGCAATTTGGAAATTTTCTGCAGTTATGTAGACACTGCACTTAAATGATATTTTCAATTGATTTGACTCATAATTCCATTAACAAATTAACTAAAATTTAAAAATTAATTCTAAAATTTTTATCGATTTATGCAAGAATGATCTTAGTTTAAACCAAGGATGATAAGTTTTATGTTTACAGAAATGTAAAATAATTGTTTGGTTACTAAATGGTGGAATTCTCGGACCTTTACAAATCAAAAATTATAATAAAACACTATTTTAAATACTCTTATTAAAATATTCTAGTTATTCTGATGCTTTTTTAAAGGAAATATTATTTAAATTTTCTGGTTACCAATAGTTTTATATTAAAATAACCAGAATATTTAACAAATTAATCACTGCTAGATTTTAGATATAAACATTTTAATAAAAATATTAAGATGCATTATATATGCATGATTATGTATATCTACAGATAAAAGACAAAAAGATGCACCTTGCACATTTTATTAATACAGCCTAGTCCAGATTCTTCCACCAAAGATAAAATTTAAGCCAGTGATTGAAACTCAAAGGAAAAAATAACTTTTATACAATAGAAAATAAGCTAAATTTGTCTTTGTTTCTAGCAATTTGCCTCAAAAATGTGTTATAAATACTCAACAGAATTTAAGTCTGGTAATCAGTGGGCGGGGACCTCATCTGCAAATGGCTGAATGAAAAAGAACATTATCTTATTAACACATGATTCATTACACAGACAAATAGCATGTAAATGATCACTGATGGTTGAACAGTACTATGCTACGTTCACTATTCCTTTCATTATAACAAGCAGACCTAAACTAAATTACTGGAATGAACTCCTTCTCACTTCATAATTAAAATATGGAAGATAACTAAAAGATGGAAATAAATACTTTGGGTAGTACCACATCCACATATATTCATTCACAACAAAAGGAGAGAATATAAATTTACCATATCATATGACATCTCTCCATTATTGTACAATACAATGTCTGCAGTCTTTACACTAGTGGACATGACAATATGCATTAACAGAAATTACTGAAGGCGTGAATAAGGCTACTTGCCTGGTTACTTTGTGTGATTTTTGGTGCTAAGTTGCAATCGATGTGGGTTTCCTCACTATGATGTTAAGAATCTCATATAATTCTTTATCAGTAGCTTATCTATATTTACTTATTTTTCTAAGTAAACAGGACTAATTTTTACACATTCACCATTCTCAGAAAATGCTTTCTATTACTGCATTTCACAAATGATGATCTTCCTAAAATGATCGGCCAAAGACATTTTTCTGTTTCATACAATACCATATTTCGTCTAATTAATATAATTTATAGGCCAATCCAGTTTTTACCACCCCATGCAAACACATCAATGTTTGCATAGGATCTGTTTGCTTGACAGAGCTGGGTCTGCTTTTTATACCATCCAAGTGACAGAACCTTTTGGTTCCTTGACTAGCATTTGTAATTCTGGTCATAACAGATGCGCATGCTATGATCAATGAAATAAAACACTCCAACCGAAATCATTGATAGACTCTGTTGTTTATATTTTGCTCACTAATAAATGGCAGCAGGTCTTCATTTGCTTTCATATATCATCTTTACTAGGAATACCATGAAGATATATATTAACTACATCTGTATTGGTATATATTATATATAACTACATCTGTGTTGGTATATATGCCATTCCTGTTGAATTATAATTGCCAAAAACATGTTTCCAGTTTTTTCCATTACCCGCATACATATATTACACATAATAGCAAACCGAAGACTATAAGAATTTAATAATTTATTTAAATTTTAGGGTGAGACAGTTTTTTGAATATAACATGAACCAAAGTGTTCTACAACAACACAAATATTACCATAAGATCCCAAAGATGTGAAAATATAGGATGAGTGAGCAAAACCACCCAAACAAGGGAACAAAAGGATAAAAAGACACTTTACTGAAAAGGTAGCTCTGAGCACATCTGAAATGAAGACAGAAACATCCATGTCACAGGCAAATGGCAAAATAAATCCAGTCTTTAGAAGGGAATATGATCACCCCTGATTGTGATGAAGGAATTAGAACATCTGTCCATGCTAAGGGCAACATTATCAAGGATCTGTTGAGGCATCACGGCCCATTACTTTTGTACTGCAAATTTCAGCGACAGAATAATTGCTGGTGGTTGGTCACATACTGCAAGCATCTCCCAAGAAGGTCCTACATGTGTTACATGGGATTTAGGTTTGGGGATCTTGAAGGTTAATACATGCACAGAATATCTCCACTCTTTAAAAACTCTGAGACAGCTACTGTACGATGAGGTGTACCACTGTTGACCTTGAAAAGGAAACCTGGACTCTAAACATCTCTAAACTTCTGTTTAGAAGTACTGAGTAAAGAAAACCTAAGTAAGTGAGGCAAGAGAAATAAGAGTGCATGTTAGGCAAGAAAACCTAGGTCCAATAACAGACACTAGAGACTGAACCCCTGGGAAGATGTCGAGGTCATTACAACAGCAAGTATACTACCTTAACCAGACAAAAACTCTAGCACCTCCAAAACAGTCCTTTTCAATGATAGTGGATGGGTAACTACATGTTCCTTTTCTCTCTCCAGATGCATGTATGTCCAGAATCGCTCATCAGCCTAAATCAGCTCTCAGCTGTACAGAGCACTCACCTCTATTCCTGCTTGTGTTCCCAGCATCACAGAACTCAACATCTCCAATGAACAGGCATCAATAGTGCAAATCATACTGGCTCCATCCACATAAACCACATTTATGCAGCCTCCTGGCTATGGTAAAATGTGATATCAAATATAAAGTAGTCAGTAGCATGTGCTTTGCAATTTCTTCTGCTTTCTGCTGCTTGTTTCTTCTTGTCTATAGGACCAAATACTGGTCATCTGCCACCATTCTTTCTTGTGGATGACCACTTAAGAATGCTCAGATAGCTATTTTTGCCATTTGAAATGCTCTCCAGGCTTGTGAAACGATGCTGTGAGCAATCTCAAACTTTTCTGTCATACGTTTTCCCACCCTGACTTTTTTCCAACTTTCCAATCACATGCTTTTGCCTAAAGTTATCCAGAAGATGTCCCCTGTGCTGCCAAGCTGGTCATATCACATGGTAATAGCAACTTGAGTCACTCAAATCACTATACAGCACAGTTTCCACTGAATTGACAAGCCTACACTGCCTATGTGCTTTATACTCCTTCGACACTTCTCCCTCTAAATCTTATGTTATATATGTGCATACTCTACTGTACTAGTTCCAAGTCTATCTCCTGGTCTTATGCTCTGCTCTGTTTCCTTGTTCTGCTTTTATACTTTCTTCATCTTGTCCTTAATTTTTGCATCCAAGTGTATAATGTGTTGAGCTTTAAAATGCATAAAATTCTAAATGAAACATTTCTTATCAACACTACAAACAGTAATAAAATGTGCCACATCCCAATTAACCAAACAGAATTTAAGACTCATTTGAGTCTTGATGATAAGAGATCAACCATTCAGTGAATGGATTAATGAAGCAAAATTTATCACATCCCAATTAACCAAACAGAACTTAAGATTCATTTGAGTCTTGATGATAAGAGATCAACCGTTCAGTGAATGGATTAATGAAGCAAAAATTAAAACTTTATGACATGCAACAGTTAAAATATTTAATTGCATGACAAAAGTCTTTAAGTTTTGGCCATCTTCCACAAAATGTTTAAACTAAAAATATGCAGCATAAATAATTATTCCTTAAATAAAATATTAGTAAGAATGATGACTTTTTAAAATTTATTTTATAATATTTCAATTAGCATTCATACTGAATTTAAATTCAGATGCTTTGAAATGTGATAATTCAGTTTATATACTATCTTTGTCAGATATAAATACATAAATATTCATATATAAATTCAAACTAGTTAATACCATTGCATATAGACTGAAATTATTAATGTACAGTTAATGAATTAGATTGCAATTAATGTAATATAAAAAATAAATAAAATTTATACCTTTTTACTATTATTAACAATCAATGATGAACATAAGTACTAAACCTCTCGGCTGATTTTATCTCATTCAGAAAGCTACAAAAACAAAAGTTTATAATTTTATTACATTAGACGAAAAATTATCTTTTGTTAGCAAAATAAAAGAATTAAGTTGCAAGAAGATGGTATTTTCTGATTATCCACACCCTGAAGAATATTCACAAGGCAATGTACTATGTCACCAAAATAGGCACCCAATGGTGTCAAAATATAATTATGGGGACACCCAGGTATGTGTAGCCCCCAGTCATTAAAGTTCATTTTTAATAGCACTGAGTGCAATGTTCTTGTAAGCAACTTTGTATGAAGTTTGATAGCTGATGAAAAAGGAATCTTCCATTTCTTTAGGAATATGATGTTTTGCGTAATTACAGGGAATGCAAAAATTCACCTACCATTAAGTTCTACTTCCTAAATGGTCAAATTTTATGGATCAAAATTTTTACAATCTCTGATGTTTTCTAAAGCAAGAAAAGACTGCACAGCATGTGCAATGCCATATTTGTGTATTTTTTAAACTTTTTTTTTAAGTAAAAATAAATCCTCATGCACATAAAGACAGTGTGTGCAGTACCAAATTGTGCATAATGCCAAATTCGTGCAAGTCTCTTATATTTTTTTGAAGCTAAATAAATAAATAAAATAAAAATAAATAAATAAAATAAAATAAAATAAAAACCACTACCTGGAAGGGGAGAAAAGAACAGAAAAAAGGGGAGGCAGTTCTTTATTATGCATTTTTCTTTCATTTTTAATTTTGTTAATTGTTTACTGCTTCATGTAATTTTTCTTTTATTTTGAAAAATGGCTGTTGTTTTTCACATTTTAGTTTACAAAATTAATAAGCAACAGTTGGTGACTTTTGGGGATGAGGGTGCATATAATCATATGGAAAGTACTATAAAGACTATAATTATGCATTGAAGTTTTCATATTTTTAAATTCCAGTTGTATAAATGAGTAACATCAATAAAGAACTGATGCATTATTGCTAAAATAAACTAATATATTTTACAGTGTTCAAATACACTGTGTATAAACTGTACAATAAATAATAACATTTCAGCTTTCGCAGACAATTCAGATTTTTACTTAATGATTAACCAAGAATACACGGAATGAGAAGACTGTAATAATTATTCTGCATAAGCTATCTGAAATTTTTTGGCTTCATATTTTCAACACCCAAAATTATATTTATAGCTTTGAACATACAATGATAAAATTTGACAACACATTTACAATGTATTTAAACTGCTGGTAGGCCTAGTTTAAATATATTTTTTTGAGGGGGGGGATTTATTTCATTATGGCAAAGCATGTGAAAGGTATCTGCAAACTAGAGGGATGCCTTCATGGTTGTTGTTGTTGCTTTTCTTCTGGTTTCTACGAAGTCGAATAAGATTTAAAAGACCATTGACTCTAAGAAAGTCGAGCACAGGGAGTAGATTGAAGTAAACATCCTCCCTAGAAAGGCCCAAGCACCTTAATATGTGCTCCACAGACACCTGATATTCTCAGCACTTGGTGCATGTGGCAAAGATTTTCCTGCCCTCCTTGAAAGAGAGGCTCATAATATGACCGCTGGCAATACGTGAGAGTGCAGTTCGGGTGCACCTATCACACTCAAGGGTTAGAGTCAAACCAAGCTTGCTGCCCAGGTACCAGAGTACAATAAAGCCTTTTCGAAAATGCAATACTGTGTGATTTTCCATCGTCTAAGTGTACTCTATCTCTCCTGAAAGTTCGTAAATGATCTGTTGAAACACTCTGTATATGTATATAATGTTTAATGTGCATAATGCCAAGGCTGTGTGCAAAGCCAAGTCTGTGCACTCCTTTGATCTTTTCAAAGCAAAAATAGGCTGCTACGTACATGGGAAGATAAACAATAATGTATATAATATAAATTTTTGTAGTTTGATAGCTCAGTAATAATAGCTTTATAAAAAAATTTAAAATGCTTTTATGTTTGAGCCTGTGATAAAATGGCAAGAAAACTAAATGATTAAAACAACAACCAATTTTAATAGCACCATCTAATAACATAAATAAATAAATACTACATGACTATTGAAGCTTGCCATGCATAAATTATACAGAGAAAAATAAGAATGACAAAAATTGAGGAAGAAGCAGTTTAAAAATATTACCTGGTAAAATTATGAATAGTTGAACCACCTAAAAGGACTCTGATCCCAAGAGATTGCCTATTTATTTGATGAACAGTAAGAGATTCTTCATAAGTGACACCTCCAATATAAAACACTATAATGTCTTGAGGCCTATGCAAAAGTCAAGAAATGATCAGCATTCTATCCACACATACATTTAATGTCTGGGTAAAAATATAAAAATACAGGTTCGGTTGTAAAATACAGGGTGATCATAATCAAGACTAGTCCATTCAGAATACTAAGCAAACATAATCAGTAGTTTGCATCCAAATTTTGAACAAAAGATTGATACTAAAATTTGTACATACACTATTCAAAGAATGCAGAAAAAGTTTCTATAGAATGAAAAAAATGACCCAAAAAAGTGGTTGCTACGGTATGTATTTTGGTAAATATTAATTAATTGAATAAATAAAACAAATGACATAAAAGATCTTAAATATCTATTATAATATTTACAAGAATTATGAATGAAATAACAGAAAAAACGCTTTTGAAGCATTAAAAGCAATCATTATCTCTTTTTTCATAAGCCCATTAATTTAAGCACCATACATGATTTTTGCAATCTGCGACCAATTATATCCACATAGGATGATTTACAGAATCTACTCAATGTGTCCACATTTTGAATTTGCATAAGCTATTGAATAATTCATTTAATAGCTGACCATAAATGATTCTCTATAATGCTTCGCACAATGCAGCATGGCCCTTCAGTTTCACTAAGTCACAATCCTTTCACAAAAAAATAGCATTCTTCCTGTGGTCCTTAGCAGAAATAACAGGGATGGCAATCTCATGAATGCAGTAGCCATGAAATAGGAAAGGAATGATTTACATGCTTATTGGTAAAATCTATTTGCTACAACATAAATTAGAGAAATTTCTTAAATTAGAGAAACTTACTTTCAACAGTAAAATATACTTTTCATATAAAAAAATTTATGTTAGTAAAGCAAAATCTGCTAAAATGATAGCCATTATCATTGATCAGAATGCAGTAATCCTCTTTTGTACTCAAATCATAAATTACTTTTCCACTTGTTCTGTAGATCACTTTCTGTTTCATTTGTATCCAGTAGTGGTAATGGTATGTTTTTCATACATTTCATTTATTTTATACCTTCTCCTACCAAAATACTCTCAGCGTTATACTATACAAAATACTCTAGAACTGCGGTCACCAACCTTTAGAACTTCATGGACCACTAAATATATAATTTCTTATTTGGCAGACCACTAATATGTATTTAGAAAAAAAGGTGAATACATTTATATAAGAATAATCAGAAACTGTTTAATTTATTAATGTGAAATGCAGTCATTAAAGGTAACAAAGTTATAGAGCAATTATTTAAAAAATGAAAAATTTAAATTTAGTTTTATTTAAGTATCACACATTTTTAGTGTGATATTTGTTCCTGTTTGTTTGAAATCAGTTTGTGGATTTTTTGGTTCTAGTGATATCACTGCAAGAAGAAGAGCCACGTTTATTTCAAACCAAGATCTGCACCTAACATATAACATAACATTAGTGGCGCTTCCTTCTTATGAAAAGAAGGAAAAGAGCTTAGGCAATGTTGCCCATTGCTCTTTCGCCATTATTTGATCATTTAAATCAAAGGTTTTAAATGGTAACTCCTGTGAAAGATAAATAATAAATAAATAGATAAGATCTCAAACTGACACCAAATATATAGTATCAGCAAAAGATCCCATCTCTAAATTCAGGGTGTCGGTTAAATCAAGAAAACTTCCCAATTGGATGAAGAGCCGATTCAATCCCTCCCAAACCACCAAACGCAAACTCTTGACCAAACAAAAGTGCGATGGCGAGTCAAAAAAAAATAAATAAATAATAAAATAAAAAATAAAATAAAATAAAAATAATAATTAATAAATAAATAAGTAAAAATAAATTAATTAATTAATTAAATAAGGAGAGCAGAGGTGTTTTCTGAAGCCAAATGGCCAGGTGGTGTATAAAGATTTGATAGCTATTTCCAAATTATATTCCAAAACACAGCTATGAGAGAGAAATCCCTGCATAGTTTCTTTTACACAAAACAAACAAACAAAAAAAAAAAAAAAAAAAACCCACCTCACAGGGCATCTCAATGCTTGTTTCTTGTAGTTTCAAATTCACCTTACCTGTAGGTGTTTAGTATACATCAGAAACCCTATTATGCCACAGAGCCCTTTGTATAGAAGGGCTTGATCAAAGCTAATACTATAGGGAAACCCAAAGAATTTGTTTCTAGGCATAGAAAACACCGGACATCGTCCCAGAAAGTGAAAAGGTGTTTCCTCTTCTTCGCCACAAGCTGGGCAGAGAGGAGATTCAACAAAACCACATTTGTGAAGATGCTTGGCCAGATAAGCATGTCCGGTAACAATTTGAATTACCTGGTGTAAGTTAGTTCTACTGAGGTGTATCAGTTTACCTGATAAGTGTACTGTGCACCAATTTAGAATGAGCACAGTCTGGTAGTTTAGACCATATATCATCATGTTTGTTCTTTATCCAGCTTCTTACTTCTTTTTTAACAGTTTGATATGAAACTGGGTAAATGGTTCTGGGCCAGACATGGGTAGTTGTGAAGCATCTTTAGCTACTTTATCAGCTAGTTCATTTCCAACAAAATCACAATGACCTGGAACCAGTTCTGTAACTTGACACGATTAGCCAGGGCAAGGATGGCTGATTGGCTGTCAGAGAGAATATATATATTCTTATCAACTGTATTTTTAGCTAAGAGCTCCCTGGCAACCATATTGATTGCCAGAACCTCGGCTTGGAAAACAGTTGTTAGTTTACCAAGGTATAGATGAAATCTAATGAAATCTTCTCCAGATCCCTTGGTTCTTATAATAGCTCCAGCTCCCGGTAGCAAGTTGGAATTTTGATCCATCTGTGTAACATTCAATTGACCCTGTTCAAATTAGGTCAATTAGAGATTCTATCTCATTCCTTTTTGGTATATAAGTTGAGAATAGTTTATCTGGAACTATTGTTTTAGTAATTGCATCTTTGGGCATATATATTATAGGGATCTCATTGCCCAAGTCCAAGCATATGTCAATATGGCTTTTCAGGTGGCTAAAATGCCTTTTTGGACAAATATGTTGTCGAAAATCGAATTAAAATTTTGATTCTGTTTCCACTCAGTGATGGGTATTAATTTTTTATAGAGAGACAAAATAAGGTCTTGATAAAGATGACATGAATTTAGTTTTTAAATTGTCTTGCAAAACAGATCAATCTGGCTTTCTTTTTCCTTCATGCTTAATTTGCTACCTTCAGTGCTGACAATGGATCCATTATCCATATACAGTCAAAAGTCTTTAATTCGGACTCATCAGTACTTCGGCAATTTCGGATTATAGATCATCAGTTTAAATCTGGTAAGATGGCATGCAGAAATTATAAAATTAAAAATATGAAACCATAATTTATGAAATAAAGAGCAATTATGATCTAAATGGTATCAAAATTTACAAAAGAAAGCTTAATATTTATTTGTTTACTTTATTAAACATTTCTTTCAACACACGCATGCGTAAAGCATACATTACGCATAGTCAAAATTGGAAAATTGCAACCAGAAAACTATTTGATGTGTCCTTGTGATACTGATAATGATGAGTAATTTGATTTAAATCATATCAAAGACGGAATACGTCGAGATGAAATACTACATTTAGTAAGGAATTATAAGCTGAATAAAATAAAAACATCTGCTCTGAAGATAAGGATAGTGCTGACAGATCAACTTCCAGTTCATTGCACGCCGCGACATTTCCCCCCGCAGAGCAGCGTGCAATTGATGAACAGATTTCGGAATGGTTAGAGAAACAAAGGATATGCCTTTATCCATTTTTTGCAGCAATTCCACTCTTGTTTGATGGACATCAAAACACACTTTCGCTTTATATATCCTTTGGCAGCTCCAGCATCGGAAATTCTATTTGACATAATCGATAGTTCAAGCTTACTTTTATAAAAATGCTCTAACAGTCTGCAAAAAATAATAAGCTGGATCCAATTTGAAGATTAAGGAACAATGCAATCTGCAACTAAAATAGGTAGTTAGATAATTTTAGCTTAGCTTATACCATCCGTTATACATTAAACGCGCTTGCGTAAACATATTATGCGCATGCGCACACGCATATGCACATATGTAAAAGTATTAAGCGCATGCGCAAACGCCTATGCACATGTGCGAACACGTTACGCGTTGACGCATGCGCAGAAAGTTTGTAGCTTTGAGATCCGAATTATAGATCATTCTGGATTATGGGTGTCCGGATTAACGACTTTTGACTGTATTTCCATACCTAGGATATTCTTGCTTTAGGTAATAAAACCAAAATATTCTGCCAGTGATTGTAAGTGCTGTGAATAATGGATACCACTTGCTGGTTGAGATTCTTCTCCCTCATACTTTCATTAAAATTTACAAACATTTGTTGATTTCCTTCTACAGTGTTTACCAGAGTGATATTGTTTTTTAAAAGCATCTATTTTACTCGTACTATAAACACGTGCTTAAGCTGTCCTTGCATATGTTTAGTTTTAATAACAGAGGGAAAAACATCTGCCAGGTATGCAAGCTTGGCTGTCCACTCATCGTTGGACAAGAGTTCTTGAAATTCCAGATTATTTTGCTGGTGAAAAGTAATTTGATTTCTTCATGCAGGATAACGATCGAGTCAGTATTTGCCCTTAGAAAGCCGTCTTACCTCAGTGGAAGAAAAAGCAGGTAAGAATAGTGGAAACCCATTTCTCCACAAAATGTTTCAAATAGTCAAGAATTAATCGTTTGGTATCGAATTTCATTTATGATATTAATAACATCTGATAATACTTGGTGCAGTGCTGGGGACATTTTTTTCACCACAAGATGCTCACTACGTGTAATGCAGTGTGTAGAAAGTTTGGGTGACTTACACTTTTCACCTTTGCAACAACTCTTGAGCAATGTCCAGGCATGTTCTGTCATTTCTTCAATGCTGGGTTTAACTCTTTGAGGAGAGGAAAAGGCAATTAACTTTTTCAGCAAAACTTTTGTTTTATTTAATAAAACCAGGTGTTACAATGAAATTATATGCAACAATTACACATATTTTGTCAAAGATGCATGAGAAAAATGACCACTTCTGGTGGTTAGTGTCAGTGACCACCGCCCACAGAACACATCCCTACAAATCAGTCTGTATGGTACTCATGGAAACAGTTTTTCTTTTTCAAGCAGAGTGCAACTTGCAGAGCGAATGTGCTGAATTCCTATATTGTTCTTACAGGCTTTTTTTTTTCTTTTGTTTTGGTGCTGCAGAGTGCATATTGTCGTAATGTTGTCTTCGATGGCTGATGCTTATTTTTTTGATAACGAATTGCTGCATCAACTACTGGCTTATGTTTCTTGATTGCTATCTAGAGAGCTACAAGGGAACTTCAGAAATGGTCAGTCTTGAAAACCACTCAGATGCGTGAGTAAGACGTTCAATAGAAAAAGTGGTTATTGTAGGTAATCACCTCCCTTCAAAGAGTTAAGAGTGTTAGCAGACTTATTACTTTCAGTTTAAGATTTACTTTCAGTTTCTGTACAGCTTTTTTTCTCCGAAACCCCTTCATAAGCTTGCAATACAAAAGACTTAAATAATTCCTCTCTGTATATGGCCTTTTTGTTTTTCACTATTTGAAGTCCTATCAGATAAAAAGCCTTTGATAAGAACCTAAACGACCATATTTTTAAAGTACCTATATATTTTTGCATATTTTCACACATTTTTTGAAAATATTCGAGTACTTTCTTAGCTAAATCTGGGTGTTTGATTTTAAGTGTTTTTCGAGTTAGAAGGTTTCATGGCACCATTAGATAAACTCTAACAGGTAATACAAAAAGGCTGTGGATTAAGCTGACTACCGGGTTCTGAAATAAATCCAAATTTAAAGTAGTCTGAATCATATTTTCTTGTTATTTGTTTTTTTTTTTTTTTTTTTTTTTTTTTTTTGTACCTACAATTTGAACTTTCTTTCTAATGCTGTCTGACTGTGACGAGGAATGTGGATGCTTTGATTCATTGATCACCTCTCAGTAAGTGAAGTAACTCCAATTTCACTAGTTATTTTATCTTTAGTTTTACTAAAGAAAGGCAAAATATTCGCTTGCTTTTCCTCACTCATTATGCGTCTATTATCTATTTTATTTCAATATGAAAAAAATATTAAAGAAAATTATTAATCAGTGATAAATGTCTGTAAAAGGTACATAAATTATGTCTTAATTTTTCTGCGGACCACCAAAAATTTTCCATGGATCACCAGTTGGCGACCGTGGCTCTAGAGGACACTTTTTTAACAATCCTCGTCTCCTGCAGAATCCATTTCTAGATCTTATGTCTGTCTAAATGGAGCATCTGCCTAAATTTTAGTGTCAATCCCCTTACAGCCACAGAGTGCTCAGAATAGGCCAACTTAAATTATGAATGCCCAGTGCACATAGATCTCAATTATATCATTACAGGATGGTTAACTTTTTAATTTGAATTTTGGTTCAAAGACTTCCATTAATTATTTCTACTGCAAATTAGGCTAGCTTCTTATTTAGTTTTATTGACAGGGCCGGATTTATGTAAGCTACACAAGCTATAGCTTAGCCCCCCCCAAATTAAAATATAGTATAAATAGTATTAAATTTAAAAACATTTAAATTTAAATTTTAACAAACACATATAAAAGTAAAAAAGCAAATTTAAAGCAAAAAAAAAAAGTGCAAACATATAAAAGATTTAATTCATGAACTAATCTACAATATTATTTAAATTCAGAAGCATAAGCAAATCAAGTGCAAAACCAAACCATGAAAATAAATTCACTAATTTAGCAAATTAAAATTAATCTAATTTTTTTTTAAATGCATAAGTGAATGACTGTTGAGCAGGCAGGAGACAGACTTATCAAGGGGAAGTTGCCTCCAAACCTAACTCTCCAATAATTCAATTTGTGTTTTGTCATTCATGCAGACAAGGGTAAAAGTCAAAACCAAAAGTAAAAAGTGAAGAATGTCCAAAAAGAAATACCAATAAAGTGGTACCCTTAGAAATTAGCATTTAAGAATTAAGAGTTCCAAAAGGAAAATACAAATGAAGTAAAGTCAAGTATTAAATTAAACCTTTTTTAAAAAAATTAAATTTTTAAAAATAGTATTAAAATATACTCATAAAGGGCCCCATATCTCAAACAGCTTAGGGCCTTATCAAGTCTAAATCTGGCTCTGTTTACTGAGTTTTGTTTTTGTATCAGTTTTGATGAATGAACTTCCTGTTAGACTGTTAACCCCATATTGGATTTAATTACTATTTATTGATTATTATATATATATATTCACACAAACACACGACATTTTCGTTTGGATTGAAAAACATATATCGGCTAATTTTCTGAATAAATGAATAAAATTACTGAACTGATTACAAAACTTAAATTTTGCTTCACATTCAATGAATATTAATTATTAGCATTTGAAATGCAAAACATAGTTCCCAATGCTAAAAATTATGATTTTTAAATCTATTTGACGATGCTCATACAGTTAAATTGGAAACTTAACAAATAGCCACATGAAAAGAAAACATAAGAACTGCAGCTGAAAACATAATAATATGCAACTATATCTTATGAATTTTTTCAAAGTTTCTCTCCCAGAATAATCAAGTTTAAAATTTTCTTTTTTCCTTTTTTACTCACATATTCCTAAAGCTTTTTAACTTAAAACTCTGAAAATTTTTTAAGTATTCATATAAATGTTCTCAAGACCCTTAAATTTTAATAAGGATTTGTCCACATAGTGTTTGTTTTCATCTTATTAACTGATTTGTTTATGGATTTTGGATGCATGGGAAAACCATCCAAGATCCACAGTGAAGCATAGAATCCATAGCAAAAATAATGAAGAACTTTAAGAAAATAGCGATATCTAATAAATACTCTTGATGGTTATGAAAATCATTTCATGGGAAGAGAGAGTGAATGTGATGAAGATGATGACAACTGTGACAATGACGATGACATGGTATAGATGATGGCAAAGCGTAGCAGGCAAAACAAACAGCAGTTCAAGCAACATTAAAGAATTTGAGGCCTAAGGAGCAATAGTGGATAACAATATGAGCAGGTGAGATTCAAGGTATAGGGAAGTAGAAATGACAACATCTTATTAGATATTGTAAATTAAAATTACTATGTATTCTTACAGAATTCAGGCTTCTTTAAAATAAATATTATAATCATTAATGTATTATCAGTAATTCATCCATGACAAGTGAAATCAAACATTATGTGATGAATCGGTAATTCACATAACAAGTGAAATGTACACTTGTTATGTTCTTACTGTAACAGTGTCGTTCAAAATTTAATTATTAACATTATTTATGCCTCTCAATTTTCATATGACAAAAAAGGGGAGATGCAGTATACTTAAATGAGGTTAAATGAGGTATACTTAAACTAAAACTAATATTGAGTATATAATTTAACTATAATTAAAGCAAAGGTATTCAGCAGTTGATGCAATTAGTGGAAGAATATAATCAGACTAAAATTATTTGAAGGGTTGAAAGTAACTTTTGGCAGCTTAAACACTTCAAAACTAAATTCAAACTAATTGTACCAAAAATTTTACTAATATTCAGTACCTTAATTTTAATATTATAAAACATTACTAAAATTGCATCTTAAAAACTTAGGATAATAATACCAGAAGGAAAAAAAATAGCCATCTCCTTAATAATTTAATTAAGGTGAAACATCTTACATTATTATGAAAAGGACATCTTTATACAAAGACATCTGCATATCAATGATGATTTTCATAAAATTTTATCATTACGTTTTGTACTTTACCTTTCTCTTAACTGAGTACCACTCAGATATGGGTATGATGATTCCTTTAATTTACCTTTCACAATATCATCCAGTATTTCTTTCAATAAGGGTGTGTGCTGAGTATATATATTTTCGACGCCCTGTAAATTGACAGACATTTTGTGCTTTTAAGATATGAGATATTAATATACATTTTATAATTTATTAAACTAAAATAAAGTGATTAATTAACAAAAATTCTTAAAGAAAATTATGGAAATATAATAAGCTAAAATGAAATCAAAGATATTTTTAACATCAGTAATGACATGAATGTTTCAAATAGCATTCTTTTCTAAAAGACCAAGAAAAAATTTTTCATTATTCAACGAATCAGTTAACAGATGAAATTTAGGAAAAATTCAGCTAAGTGACCTTCATGCTCTATAAAAAATCACAAGTTTGTTGGTAAAACAGTAAGTTATGAAAAATATTTAAAATTCAAAACCTTCAATCCTTTAATAACTCTTTTGGTAAAAGTTTTCACATTTTCAGTTGTAAACAAATCATTGCGTCCTCCTTTGCTGCCACTAAATTCCAAAACTGCTCGAACCATCTAGAGAAATTGAATCAAACATCAATGAAAAATGTATGATACTACTTATTATTTGAGCAAAAGAAATAATGATAAAAAAAATCAACATCTATAACAAAAAATTGCAGTTTCTCTAACTAATATCTGTGATAATTAAGATCAGCTATATAATCAATGCTACTTTTTGTCAGGTAAGCTATGTTTGTTTGTTTGAAGGAAAAGACATAAATATGAAAGCTAAATTAATCAACCATTGATTTAAAGCAATATTTAAATTTCAGTATCTCAAAAATAATAAATTCTGCTTTTATTCAAAATTTTATATAATAAAAATCATGAAACATAATTTGAAAATGTTATTTAAAGATAATCAGTTAATTAAACATAATGATATAAATCTTCAGCATATATCTTCACTACCAACCACGTATATGCACATCACTTTTCCATATTTAAAGTTTTTTAAAATATGGAAAATGAAACACACTCAGATAATTTATTTACTTCTTTAATAGCTTCTTTAATCTGTTTTAACAGATTTCTATATAAGACTTTTACAATCACCTGAAAATAAAAAACTTTTGTGTTAAGCTCTGTTACACTTTTAATGTTAGTTTAATTGAAAATATTTCAAATCATACTAAATTAATTTAGTTTTTACTACAGCTTTAGGAGTTTCAGACAAATCATATTTCTCTGAAGGATGAGTTTAATAATAGTAGCAATAATCGCAATAATAATAATATGAAAAAAATTCCATTTGATATTGAAGAAAACAAAACATCTCAAAGACTGGCAAATATTCAAGCTATAAACGTGAATACTAAATAACACACATTTTTGAAACAGCAGCTAAACAATTCCCCATAACAAATTATACTTTAAAACAGGGGATGTCCAACTGACAGCCCCTGAAACAATTTTATGTGTCCTGTAAAGACATTTCAATTACATATTTGTTGCAAATACAGTGCTACAAATATTTTAAGATTTTAGTTATATGATGTTTGAGTTCATATTATTTTCATATCCATTACAAATGAATATGCCAAAAAATCTATAAATGTTATTAATTAATTTACAGTGTGGTATAAATCTTATTCAAAGATTTCAAAATACAGATTTAATTAATTTTTATTCGTATTTGTCAAAATAATTAATAAGCTCTAACAATAATCACTTTGTTTGGGGACACATTTATATAACAAGAGCCTTTTTATTATTTTTTTTAATTGATAAGAAATGGCATTTCAATCCACGATGAAGATGATTTCTCTCCAAAGCTAGAAACTTTATCAGAATCTAAACAAGTGTTGAGTTGTAGTAAGAAATACAGAGTTTTTAATTATTGTATACAAACATATATAAATATATATATAAATTTATTTACTAAATAATATTGATTACATTATCTCCTAAGTTTAATTATAGTAGTATTATCTTAAAAGAGTGAATCCATACTTAGTAAGTTCTTAGTAGAATAACTTGTTTTCACATTAAATGAATTTAAGATCATACAACATATACATGTACCTGAGAAAAATTTAATAAATAAATAAAAGAAATTAAGTCGTCATTATTTGCTCTCAAGTTTCGTCTCACTTGTACATGTTTCTCTGGAAACTTAAAAATTGTCCATAATTTGTTTATTTTTAAATTAAAATAAATTACTTAATAATTAATGAAATGTGTTAGAATAATTTGACAGAAATGTCAGTCTAAGAATTTAATACTTAGATCTCAGTATGTTTGAATTACAAAGTGCAACCAATAAAATAATATCTCTTGTAAGTATCACACTTTAGATTTCAAATAAAAAATAAATAGAAATTGAGTGTTTTTTTTCCTTTATGATAATATTATAATTGTTTTTATGTCAATTTTTTCCTAAATATTTAGTAAGCAAAATTTAAAATTTGTTTAAAATATTTTTGATTTTGATTTTTTTTTTTTCATTTTGTGAAAAGAAAAAGATTTTTTTTAAAGTAAAATATGGCTCTTCAGTTGCATCTGGATCATGTATATGGCTCCCATGCAATTTGTGTTGATACCATGGTAAATTATATGAAGCATCAACCTTGTGTTTTGGTATGCATTTTATTCAAGACTCTCTCAAATTCGAGGGGAAAAAGGTACAGGTCCCTCTTCATCAGGAGCAAAGAAATCTGCAATGAAGGGAAAGCCAGCAGGAATAGTAAAGAAAACTGAAAAATTAAGTTAATAAAATTTTTAAAGCATTAGGAATGACTGGACTGTAATTAAAGTCATTAACTGAGCAAGATAAATCTTTGTGAATGTGAAGAATTTCAACAAAATCCAATTTATCAATGGAAAAAGCTTTTTGGATAGCTAAAATCAAAATTGTGATTTAATTTCTAATAATGATTAGCTACAGGAAACTTGTTAATTTTGCCTTTTCAGAGATAAGATTCATGTTCCTTGATGCAAAATTTTAAGGCTCTTTTATTTTGCCCAATATAGCTCAAATCACACTGACAAGAAATGCTACAAGTTTTCCAAAATTAAAGTCAGAAATGCAATCTTTAAGAATCGAACCATGGATTTTATTGATAGGTGAGAAAATGACCTGAAAATTGAACTTTATGAGAATCTGCACAATAGTGCAACTGACAGAAAGATACAATGAAAGCATGATAAATTTATTAATGTTATTTCTACCAGTTGGATGTCTTCTTTGATGGCAAGATGAGAATTTTTTAAGATTTCTTCCCATTTTTCAATGACATCAGGAGAAAATTCTTGGTCAATGGTAACTGATCTCAAATAACTGAGTTTATTAGCAAACAAAGGTTCTGAGAAACCAAAATTTGAAAATGCAAAATGCATAATAGTAAAAAGAAATCATTTTTTGCTTAAGCGGGTGACATGACAATATTGGAAGGTAAACAATTTCTTTTACAAAATTACTATTAATTTACTTTATTCTGCACTAGAATAACTAATATGCTAATTCACATAAACACAAACTTCATAAATGCATTTTTAATCACTTAATCATGTCAACTTAAGATCAGCCAAGAGGAAAAGGAAATAAAAGACAAATGGTGACAGATGAAAATGCTGAAAAGTTGTATGTAGGAAGACTGTATTAATAGATTTTAATATTATATAATACATTTACTTTCTTTAGGATAAATGAAAAATAAATAAATGGGTGACAGAAGAAGCAGTAAAATTTTATATTTTACACAAAATTATAATAACAGAGATTTCAGTGATACATATAAAATGCAATTTTATTAGACTGATGTTTGATCAAATGCAGATAATAAAATATATCTCTGCTACTCACTCTTATCAATTTTTCAGTAGTATTTCTCTTCTTCAAAAGCTCAATTAGACCTGAAATATCATTATTACTATTTTTTTCATAATGTAGAGAATACAACATCACTAATCTTACAGCATCAATGTCTCTCACTTTATCATTGCTCAGCAATTTACGTATCCTCTGAAAATAAATAAAAATTTCTATATTTATGCATTTAAAGTAAAATATTTCTAATATGCACATATTATTTTACAAATTTAATATATGCTTCAGTTTGAAATGAATACTTTAGTACTGGGTTACCATAATTCTCCTATTAACTACTATTACAACACAAAATACAGATAGGCAGAAATATTTTGCAAAACATGAGGAAATTATATTTAGAAAAAACATTACTTCAAAATTACTAATGAAATGATAAAACGTTTTGAAATAAGAACTACATTTTTAAAATTTACACACCTTATTACGGAACAAAAACAAAGATAGGCATATATATGTACAATTTTTAACTTTACTTTTATTATATTGGCCTGCAAAACAACAGCAATGCTACTACAGTCAAAAGTCTTTAATCCGGACGTCCATAATTCGGAATGATCTATTATCCGGACCTCAAAGCTACAAACTTTCTGCGCATGCATTAACGCATGCACATAATACCTTTACACATGCGCATAATACCTTTATGCATGCGTGTTTAATGTATAACGAACGGTATAAGCTACGCTAAAATTATCTAATTATCTATTTCAGTTAATGTTGCAGATTGCGTTGTTTCTTAATCTTCTAATTGGATCCGGCTTATTACTTTTGCAGACTGTTAGAGCAATTTTATAAAAGTAAGCTTAAACTTTCGATTATGTCAAAAAGAATTTCCGATTCTGGAGCTACCAAAGGATCTACAAAGCGAAAGCATGTTTCGATGTCCATCAAACAAAAAGTGGAATTGCTGCAAAAAATGGATAAAGGTATATCCTTTGATTCTCTAACCATTCCGAAATATGTATATCAATTTCACGCTGCTCTGCGGGGAAAGCGGGAAATGCGTGGCACGCAAAGAACTGGAAGTTGATCTTTCAGCACTATCCTTATCTTCAGGGCAGATGTTTTTATTTTATTCAGCTTATAATTCCTTACTAAATGTAGTATTTCATCTCGATATACTCCGTCTTTGATGTGATTTAAATCAAATTCCTCGTCATTATAAATATTACGAATACACATCGAATAGTTTTCTGGTTGCAATTTTCAAATTTCAACTATACGTAATGTATGCTTTATGCATGCGCGCGTTGAAAGAAATGTTTCATAAAGTAAACAAATAAATATTAAGCTCTTTTTTGTAAATTTTGATACCCTTTACATCATAATTGCTCTTTATTTCCTAAATTACGTTTTCATATTTTTACAAGGGTTGGAACTTTAATAGTGGCAACTATTTATTTACAAGGAATACAAAAGTGATTCATGTCACCATGTTTTACAAGTCCTTCAAATATAGTCGCCAGCATGTGTACAACCCGTTTCCAACGATGTGGAAGTCGCAGAATACCTGTAGCAGCGCCTGTTTTGTTGATAGTTTGAATGGACCGGTCTACTGCCGCAAGAATCTCAGGAACAGTTTGGAAGCGAGTGCCACGAAGTTGTTCCTACATCTTAGAAATTAAGTCATAGTCACAAGGGCTTAGATCTGGGGAGTATGGTGGATAGTAAAGCACTTCCCAGTCCCATCGCTTGAAGAAATCAGTCACGGCTTGCGCTGCATGCGGCCGAGCATTGTCATGCAAAATGAGAGGAGCGTTCTGCAGAAAGTGTTGCCGTTTTTTTCTCAGAGCTTGTCGGAGATTGTGCTCCAAAAATGAGCAATAATACTGCGCAATGACGGTCTGCTGTGGGGGAACAGTATGCATTAGGATGACACCATCACAATCGTACACGAGAATCACCATAACTTTCACATTGCTGGGGTTCTGACGAAATTTTGAACGTCGTGGTGACCCGTGATGACGCCATTCGTGTGATTGGCGTTTCAGTTCTAGCTGGTACGATCAGGCCCAAGTCTCATCCAGCGTAATGATATGACGTAAAAAAAGCATCTCCTTCGCGCTCATAATGCTCCAGGTGGGTTCAGGCAGCATCGTATCGTAGCCATTTCTGCATTTCCGTCAATTAATGTGGAACCCATCGTGAAGCAATTTTTCTCATGGACAGGCATTCTTTCAGAATGTGCAGCACAGTTGCATGCGCTAATCCTGTTTGTCCGGCCAGCTGACGAATCGTTTGGCGGCGATCACTGTTCATTAGTGCAGCAACAGCTTGCAAGTCTGCATTGCTGACACTCGGACGACCTGGCCGCAGCATGTCTGCCACGTTTTGGCGTCCTTCATTGAATGCTTTCACCCATCTTGCTACAGTTCTGTAATGCAATGCAGATTCCCTGCAAGCCTCTTGAAGCCCTTGATGACACTGTCGTGCTGTACGACCTCTGGCACATTCAATTTTTATCCAACATCGTTGTTCTTGTTTTGAAAACATGGTGACAACACTTACTTTAGACCGCGAGCTAATACAAGGATCCCTTCTTCGCGTCACTACGCATGCGCGTGACGTAGGCAGGACGAGTCTTTTTGCTGAGAGGTAAGGTAGGTATGTAGTTCACATGTGGTATACGCGATACTCTTTGGTTCTGTTGCGTAGCATTTTTTCAGCTGTGTTGCCACTATTAAAGTTCCAACCCTCGTAATTTTATAATTTCTGCATGCCTTCTTACCAGATTTAAACTGATGATCTATAATCCGGAAAAAATGATAATCCGGAATTGCCTAAGTCCCGACGAGTCCGGATTAAAGACTTTTGACTGTATTAGGATCTTGGAATTTTGGTTTGTCGGTTGTTTTTATGGTGGAAAATCAAAACATATTTTGGAATTCAGATGGCATAGGATTCTAAAAAAAATTGTAAGCATCATGACCCTAGAAATGATCCCAAAAGAATTTATCAACAGATGAACAATGCTTTTTCCTTTTGTTTTCAAGCTGTCACTGAAAAATGAGTTTCAGTACTGTGCATAAGAATTACATATACTTTATACATAAGCATGAGCTGTCACTGAAAAATGAGTTTCAGTTCTGTATGTAAGAATTGCACATGCTTTATACATAAGCGTGAAGAAAATTCTATACATAGATACTTCTCATCTAATGAATTTTGAATTTGCAAACGTTTATGAACAAACCTATTCTTAAAGGGAAAAATTTGTTTGGAGCTGAAAAGAGTTCATTATCTTATATTTTTGCAAAACCTAGACTCAAATTTTAAAAGGTCTACTATGCACAAAGTCATAGTGCTTAAGTCTTTTTTTATGATAATGGAAAATAAAAACATATTAATTTCTTAAGGAAGATATTTCAGGAATTATTGTTGTTGGCCTACTACGGCAACTACTTCTATCTTTCATGCAGCCTCCACATAAAAAAATGCCCCTTTTACTTGTGAATGAATCTTTACAGGGTGAGTGAGACATTGACTCCCACCCAACTGTGTAAAAAAAATTACAATCTGAAATTGCATTTTTTGCACTTATTTCATATTTTTTACTTCAAATAAGGCCAAGATGAAGAACACAGAGTCACAACAGCATTGCATGAGGGGTAAACCAATGAAATATAAAAGCTCCTTTTTCTGGTCAATCCTTTAATCTTAATATTCATATTTCGTTGTTTATTTCTAAATTAAAGCTGCTAGAAATGATAGAACTACATTCTTTCTAGCATATCTAGTGTACTCAGCTTAGGTTGACCAGTAGTATAATCAAGCCTAAATATGTATATATGGCATAACAATATCTGTGCCCTCATGTTGATGATTTTGATAATTTGTATACAAAATTGGGTAGGAAAGAGATGACAATATTGTTGCAAATTATCATAATTGGGCAGATTAAGCAATTAAAAGTGCCACATTCAGCCCATGAGCCAGCTTTTGCCCACCACTGTTCTATAAGATCATACCTTTAATGCCAAATAAATGAAGCAGATATTCGACATTTTGAAGCAAAAATGCCCAGCAATAATGAACAGAAGAGCAAAAGTCTCATACAGCAAAAAGAATACTAAACCTGTGTCTATGTGACCAAGAATTTATGACCATCTGCTGATGTGACCAAGGGGGGAAAAATCTTGAATGTGACAGAATGAAATTAATTCTATATCCAGTATACAGTTTAGATTTTCCATCATTAGATTATTACTTGTTCTAATCCATAGCTTAATTCCTTCCTCCAACAACCTGCAGAAAGTTTGGAAGTTGAGCCGAAGGAATTCAACTGAAAGGATGAGAATTGTTACCACAATAGGATTGAAGATCTGGCAGAAAGATGGCTTAATGATAATGCAACACAAAGATTTGTACTTTAAATGCTAGGTGGTTTTCATTTTAAAGTTATGCTTGAGAAATGAAATGTTTCAAAACATTAACAAAAATGGACAAAATACTTCAAAATTTTTTACTCATCAAAGAAATCCTACCGGATTCTTATTTTCAACGAACATGAGCTTAAATGACATTTCCATATTTCTTATTAATCTGCAGTTAGACAAAACAAGGCAATGGCTAATCTTTTAGAGAAATAAAGCATTCTTTGAGCAAACAGAGATTTGCCAAAACCCATAAATGTGTTATATATATTCAGAATTATCCTCACAGAAAAAACAAATTTCTTTGCTACTACTGGAAATATTCATATTCTGAATTATCACTGATTACGGATTTGTTATATGAGGCTTGGAAATAACTTTATTCTAAGTGATCAATACTGAAATAACAATGAAAAGTTTTATTGTTCATACATGAAGTTATGAAGAACACACACAAAATAAATAAATAAATACAATTAAAATATATTAATTGGTTTTTAATAAAATTATCATTAATTTACTTTAACATGGCACTTGTTCAAATTACTAATTCATATAATTCTAAATTCAAAGCAATGTTTGATGAACTAAAGCTATCTGAAACAACGGAACAGAAAAGTGTTTCAAAAGCATTTCTATGAGCACTGGAAGAGTGCATTGTTTACGCTGGATCCTTCTGGCACGTATACACTTTAACTTACTATTTTCTGGCAAAGACACTGTTTTATTTAAATCAGCAGTTCTCAACCTTTTGACTAATGCATACCATTTAAACAAAAATTGAAAAACTTTAGTAACACCAGCACATTTTAGTACGAATATTTTTCATTTTCTTAATAGAAATATTTAAGAAAATATATTTTGCCATTTGCATAACCTATTGGCTATATTAAAGGTACAAACATAAAAAAATAAATTAAAAATTGGTTACCATTTTAATTATCAAAATTTAAATCATACTTTAAAATGTAGTGTGAAATTTGGGCCTATTTAAGAGAGATCAATTTCTTTATGTCTGGTCTTATTTCACTTAACTAATGTAAATTAGGTTCCAATTTTAATTCTTCTGTATTTCTTTTTTAAATAAAACCTGGAAGAAAATACTTGTTCACACAAACAGGTTGTGCAGAAAGGCAATAAAATTTAACAGCTTTATCTGAAATGCCTTTAAATTCTTTTTTTCAGCCAAAAGTTAACAAGTGTGTTATTTTTTAAATCTTCAATTAGAGTTCAATCACAGGAAATTTCTATCAATTTTTCTTTTTCTTCATGAGATTTCTGAATTTAATAGTTAAAAATACTTTATTTCTTTGTGTAACACTATTTTTCTCTTGCATACCACTTGTTGAGAATCACTGATTTAAATACCTCTAGTAATGCCAATGACAGAATATTTTCACTTCATTTTGTTGACTTTCATGATAAAATTAATATTCATCAATTTATGATCTAAAATTATTTTAAACATATTACTAAAAGAAAGACTACAGAGAATACTTTTGTGATTTTTAAGTTAAAATTAAAAATTCAGTATTCTCATTGCATATTCAGTATTCTTGGAGAAGGACGCTTGGCTTTAACTACAGCAACGCATGGAAAGATCATACAATTTTAGAATGGAATACTATTTTGTGGAAGGCTGTATAATGCAAACTTGTATTTAAGTTATATGAGAGGGAAACTGTAAAATATAATCTGCCATTTCCAGGTTTGATTTGCTATACTCACTCACACACTGAAAGCCAAACATTAAGGGGAAACAAATGCTTATTTTTTAAAATTATTCCACTATAATTAAAAGGAGAATTTCAGTGCATGAAAAATTATTAATTTTTTGGTTCACGAATTTTAGTTATGAAATACAGCTGCCACTTGCAATAAATCAGTTACATATGAGATGGTCTCTAACTGAATGAAATAATGAACTTCGCATTGCTAAAAATTAATAAAATAAATAAATTAATGAAATACTGAGTTTTGCATTGCTAAAAATTAATAAAATAAACTTTTATAGTAAAAAAATCCAGGGAAATAAACCATGATAAGAAATCTTACTTTAAGAGATTCTGTATGGTCAGACTCACAAGCAAGTTCTTGCTCAGCTTCAGATACTTCAAGAAGACAATGATTGCCAACTAATCTTGATAATTCACCTATTAATGTCACATGTGTAGTTACAGTGCCTGACATTTTCTTGAATTGAGGGTATGTTTCAACAAATGCCTATAATGATAAACAGAATAAATAAGATTTCATATATACTAGATGAAAAACATGCAAATTAAAAAAAAAAAAAAAAAAGCAATGAACAAATTCAAATCTTCCTCCTTCATAAGAATATTAATCATCATTAACAAAAGTATAAATAACTCTGAGAGAAATAAGGCAATCGAGATTTCTAATTCGTTTCTATATTTTAAGAAAGCTATATCATTTTACTTAGGTATGCAACAATTTTTTATTTAAATCTGACTTGATGCTACGTAGCATATTCGGAAACTAAGTACCATTTCATTCTAGCGCTGTCGCAGCGCTGTGGTAGGCGTACCGCGCATGCGCACTAGTCTTTCTTGTTCACTGACTTTCAATTGTCGCCATTTTGGTTGCTCTATGTTGTGTTTTCAGTTTGCTGTGCACATTCAAAATGTTTAAGACGATTAGTTCTCCTGCTGACTGTGAGATTTGTGCCGTGATTAAATTTCTGAATGCGAGGAATGTTAAACCAGCCGAAATTTATCGTCAAGTGATAGAAGTTTACGGTGAATACGCGATAAGCGATGGAATGGTGAGAAAGTGGGTAAGAATGTTTAATGCAGGTCGAACAAATGCCCACGCCGAGGCTCGGAGTGGTCGGAATTCTGTTGTCACCGATGATTTCGTAAGGAAAGTTGATGAAACAATTCATGAGAACAGACGCTTCACGATGACAACTCTTTCAGACGCATTTCCACAAATTTCACATACTGTTTTGTTCGAAATTGTGTCTGACCGCTTGAATTATCGCAAACTGTGTTCCCGATGAGTTCCAAAAATGCTCACTGATGCTCACAAAACAAAGCGACTTGGTAGTGCCCTGACATTTCTCACACAGTACAGTGATGAGGGAGAAAACTTTTTAAACCAAATTGTGACAGGTGATGAAACTTGGGTGTGTCATTTCACACCAGAATCGAAACAACAATCGATGGAGTGGAGACACACTCATTCTCCGAAAAAACAAAAAAGTTCAAAGTGACAATGTCATCACAAAAAATCTTGTGCACTGTCTTCTGGGATAGGAAAGGCATTTTGCTTACTGAATTTCTTCCCAGAGGTGGAACCATTAATTAAATTAATATTGTGAGACTTTAACAAAACTAAGGCGTGCCATTCAAAACAAACGAAGAGGAATGCTCAGTAAAGGAATTGTGTTGCTCCATGACAATGCTCGCCTCCATACTGCTGGTGTCACTCAATCGTTAATTCGACAGTTTCATTGGGAGCAGTTCGATCACCCGCCATACAGCCCGGACTTGGCGCCGTCCGACTATCACTTGTTCCTGCACATGAAGTGCGAGCTTGGTGGCAAGCGCTTTGAATCTGACGATGACACGAAAAATGCTGTGGAGTCATGGTTATTGAAACTTGTTTTCAAAACGGTACTTAGTTTCCGAATACGACTCGTATTATTTAATGATAAAGATTTTATACTAAAAGATATTTTTGCTTTTAGTTACATAAATTTCATATCAAAAATTTTTGCTATGTGAACGTTTTCAATATTGATAAAAAAAATTGGTACTGTTCTGTTATTCTGCTATCGTTCAGAAATGTATGTATGTATGTGTTCATGTGTACATGTCTATATTTGTATGTACATATTTATGTGTGTCTGTACACACATAAATATGTACATACATATGTGCATACTTACATACACTTTTGAATCAGCTCCTGATAACAGAACAGCACCGAAAAATTGTATGCTGTCATTAGTTTTTTCCATTGTTATTTCATTATGATTACATTTTTATACTGATATGAATCTTTACAAGAACAGTCTCATGAATCAAATTTACTATTAATTATTAAAAAAATAAGCATATAATAAATATCTAGAGATATAAATTTTGTATTTTAAGACACTACAAAAAATATCCAAATTTTACATTCTTCAAAATTAATAATAATAATAATAATCAGAAGTAATATTTTATCTAAATTATAAAATAATTATTTTCAATTAAGTTTCAGATTTAGCATTACAAATTGTTTAATCATGCTCTACATAATTAACAGCACTGTATTCCCTGTATATGAAAGCTGTAAATGACCATCTTACCAAAAATTCTGTCTTAAAATTTAACACAATTTAGCCATCCAAAATAAGATACTTGTCATTATGAATTTAAGTCATCAATAACCTTGTTTATAAAAATAATAATCACATACTTGCTGTATCTGAAATAGCAGCATACACATGATAAAATTGTATTTTATTAATTTGACAATTAACTAATCAAGATATTTCACATATATTAGGATGTTTATCACTATATATGCAATAACACTCGCAGATGAAATATTGAAACTTTAAGAAAGGGCTCACATTTTACCTTATTCAAGAAAACTCTAAAAGTTCCCCCCCCTCAAAAAAAAAAAAAAGAAATTATGCAATATAATAAGTAAATTTAATTGTGCAGAGAAACTTTTGCTATACTTCTTCCAATCAATTATCAGTGTTTATCCTTACAACTAATATGGATTTGAGATTACGAAGTGCCAAAAGTATGAATTCATGTTGATAAACAAGTAGCAGGAGTGGAGACAAAATTTGCTTGATACCCATATATCTGACTGATACCCACATAAGCCAGCCATATAGCCTTATTATGTGTTAAGAACATTTTGGTAGAAAGTCTATGGATAAATTACCTCTTTCATTTATAAGCCAGAGTTCAATCATCAGAATAAGAAATTTTATTTATTTGCAAATGAAGAAGAGAACAAGTGTCTTTGTGCTCAAATTTATGCAAAATTTATTTTGCTTCATAAACATTTTAGTCACATGCATAACATGATGTGAAATTAAATGAACCATATTTTAAACAGGGTACCTCAGATTAGCCATTCATACTATTATCTAAATACCTACTGTTTGCTAAATTAGAATACATAATCAACAATAATGCTCAGTATCATAACCTACACAGTACCATAAATATATTTTTTACATGCACATTTGTTTAAACACAAAATCCTGGAACTGATTTAGCTGTTCTATATTCATCAATTAGTTTAGCATAAAATTTTATATTATAAAACTATCACTTGGTATATGGGGCATCTTTGAATACGTTGAAATAAATCTGATAATGCAGTTTCAGGTTGATAGATGTAAATAAATTTAGAATAAAAAAAAATTAATGATTGGCAATGTTAAATGAATTACTTTCATATCAGCAATAGATTCCACTTTCTTTTGATTTTTAGTTTTCTTTTGAAATTCTTCCATCAGTTCTTTTATTCTGACTCCAATTTCACCAAAATTTGAATACATATTCTATAATTTAAATAAGCATATAATATGATAAAGTGATAACACATCCACGTACAACTAAAAAAAAAAGTATATATATACCCACACGTTTTAAAATAAATAGAGCAACAAAGAAATTCTTCCATTAAAATAATATATGGACAAATGACAATGAAACCACGCAAAATTACATTTTCTGAAATATAAAAAATTACAATCAAGACAATATTATGCACAATATAATCAGTATGTTTTTTTAAAATTAGACACAAACAACAATAGGCACACAAAGTTACCAACAGTTTAAAAAGTTTTGGAGATGTGCTACATGTCCAAAGCTTTATACTTCACAGAATATAAATTTTGGGCATATAGCACAGAAATGATATATTAAAGTACTAGAGAGTTATAAGGTTGTCTGAAAACTACTTTCAGTTTCTCTATGAAGTAGCTGATGTAGCAGGCATATGATGTTAACATTGTTTGAAACACTTTTTTGAGAATGCATTACAGCAAATGACATATTAGTGCATATTTTAAAGAGAACTTATTAACTATCAAAATTGTGGAATATTTATATTTATTTTGAAAGATAGAAGATAAAAACATTTTTTACCACATTTTACTTTATTTATATAAAAGAGCCCCCTCATACACATAAAAAGATTTCTGTTGTGAGTGGTGATGATGCAATGATAGCATCCACCTGCCAGAACTGGTTTGCAAAATTTTGTTTGGTTATTTTTCATTTAGTCTGATGATGACAGATTAAAGGCACTGATCAAAGGTAATTGCCACACAACTGTACTTGGAACTAGCTGAGAATTTAAACTCATCTAGTAGAAACATTCATGATCATTTGAAAAAGTTTTATGAAAATAAAAGCTTGGATGGTTGTTTCCCATATGTGTGTTTGTAATAACATAAGGATTGTAATGTAATAACATATTGTAATAAAATAAATGTTTGGAACCCATATGAACTCAATCTAACTAATTTAACGCAGAGTATCTGCAATATATCGTTTGCTTCTGAAATGTAATCAAAATGATCCATTTTTTAAATGAGAGTTATTATGAAAAACGATTTATTTAACCCCTTCGCGCCGACTGTCACGTCTCTGTGCCAGCAACGAACACACTCACTTCCTGGCCAACACGCAGGCGTGCCAGAGTGTTTTCCCGTTCAGTCCCGACTGTCACGCATTTGTGCCAGTGTCCTGGAACGTTTTAAAAAACTATAATTTCTGCCACAAGATAGCACTGTATGTCCATATGGTTTCAGATACATGTACATTAGACCTTCTACTCGAAATGAGAGAAGCATGACTCACATATACACGCGTTTTTGATTATATAAACAAAAGGGGAAATAAATGTTTCCGGATGGTGTGCTTTATGACGTCTCTTTAAATTCGTGGTAGTTGTTTATTGTAAGTAGAGAAGTTTATTTTTGCTAAAGCGTTGGGTATTTCGGTTTGCAGTTCAGTTTTTAGAAAATAATTAGATCTTGTCAGATGTGAATTCTTTCTGTTTTTACCGTTGCAATGTCGAAGCATCGAAAATGTTTAACTGAGCATGAAATAGCAGAAATGATGCAAAATATTTCAGATATTGATTCTGAAACAGATTCTTATAGTAGTGATAGTGATACTATGATATATTCTGATCATAAAGAATCTGACAAATCTAATGATGATGAGGACATTTCGGACATCTGTATGCTGAGTACGTCGAAAGCAAGTACTTCTCCATGGTCATCCACAATAGAAAATTTATCAGAATTACCATTTAAAGCTGTTCCTGGAATTAAAGTGGATAATTCGGTTGAAGAAGAAATTGATTTCTTTAGGTATTATTTTGATGATACAATAATGAAATTAATTACTGAAGAGACTAATCTGTATCAGAGGAGTAAATATACTGAGGATGAATCTGGAGCAACTTCTTCGAAGTATTTACCTGTTACAGTGAAAGAAATGTTTGTTTTCTTTGCTCTAACAATTTTTGATGAGTATTATAAAGAAACCCACAATCATTAAATCCGCTCAGATTAACTGAAAGACATTTTCCAAAACTTTGTTCAGCAGAAGAGACTGATAAGAAAATGAGACGACAATGCTTCGTTTGTTCACATTCCAAAAAAAAAATCCTCCAAAACGGCAAATGAGTTATTACAAGTGCAAGGAATGTAACGTAGGACTGTGTGTAGATCCCTGTTTTCAAATTTTTCATGCGAAAGGAGAATTTTAAGTAATATATTTAGTTTTCAGATGTATAATGTTAAAAGTCATAAAATGGTGAGTAATGAAAATAAAATGTGTAAAATATGCGTTTAAACAAGAAATAAGGTAATTAAAGTATATATAAAAATATCTATAAAGCATAAGCCGTTTAAATACTCTATAGAGAATTATTAAAGAATGCGTTGATACTTCGGAAATTTCATGGATTTAGGCTTAATAGCAAAAAAGCCCCCGGCCCTGGACAGACGCTCGCGTAAGACACTGCCGGCCTCCGCAATAAGTGCGCGTTTGCGCTACCCGGCGCGAAGGGGTTAACTTAGTCCAAGCTTAATGTTTCAGTCTGAAAGCTGATATTCATCAAAAGAAGACCATATTAGAAGGAATAATTCTGACGGAAATTTAAAAAAAAACTCTGCTTATTTTAATCTTTTATCAAAGAACATCAATTTCCAGGATCAATTCCAATGTGTCCAGTTTACAACTAACAAAACTAAAAATATATGCTTTGTAATAGAAACATTCAGAATCTGTGAAATGAAAACACACAACATTCCAAAATGATAATGCCAAACCACACACATCTTTAATCATTTACCAGAAACAACTGAAATTTCACCAGAATGTATTACCAGGGTTCGTACACATTTCTGCACACGAAAATTAAGTACTTTTAAGGACTTTTAAGGACCATTAATGAAAAAAATTAAGGACCTATGAGCATATGGGAACTGATTAAATTCAATTAAAAATATTATTCTATGCCTGAATTTCATTTTTCCAATACCATCCTAAAAATAAAATAGATCCATAAGTAGTATGCATTATTACCAAAGGTAAATTAACATAATTATTAATAAGTTTGAGAATAAAATACACTTCATGCAGTTTATCAAGTAGCATTAAATATTTTACACTTATAATAGGTTGGACATATTTGAAAGAAAATAAGTGACATTTACGATTTACTAACAGTTAGCTTTATGTTGATCTTTTTACGTCTCATTTTGTCACATACTTGGTCAGTCTAGAGCAGAGGTTCTCAACCGGTGGTACGCAAGAAAAAATAGGTGGTACACAAAGAAGCAAAGTATTTTTAACTATTTATTTCAAAAATTAAAAGCCCTACAACCTGATTTTTTTCTCTAGCACTTGTAAATTTATGTAATTTGAGCTTTGTTCAAGAGTGGTGGTGGTACTAAAGGTTTTCAATTTTTATTCAGATGGTACACATTAGTCAAAAGGTTGAGAACTGCTTGTTTAGAGGTTTAGTAAATAATAGGTAAATTTTATGTCAAACGGCATAGGTTAAAATGAGAAGTATCATAATCAGCATCATTCATAACCAAAAGACTGAATGTTATCACCGCTGCTGCTTGTCTAGAGAGAGACCTGCTGATTAGAACAAACCTGAAAGGCATGATGTAGGCACGGTTGGCAAATGTTGAAAGTTAGTCAGGCTCTGATGCAGTTAGTGTCATAGCTTTGTGTAGAGTTCCAGGGGTTGTAAGCCAGTTAATATTCTTTCAGGTTCCAATAAGCCATTAAAGCGCCACAGGTGATAAGTTGTTTTGTATCAAGTCTCACTAGATGCAAAGAATAAGCTTTACTTGAATTTCTACATTTTTGTGTTTTATCTTGTGACCACTCGCTTTAATATGTAGAGATAATTTTTAAGGGTAAGCAGTTAGTTATAAATAATTAAATTAGGTAAATAGGTAACCTTAGTCATTATGGATTTACATGGCCACTATTAAATTTTATTTTTTAACAATATTTGTTAAAAAAGCCCTATTAAAATCAAAATCTAATAAAATTTCACAGTTGAAAATACATGTTATTTATGACACTGATTCTTAAACGATATTAAAATTACACATTAAAAGCTACAAAACATTCATGTTTTGTAACAACAACACTCAACAAAATATTTATCCGTCATTTTAATTTGAAGCCTTCCCAAACATTTTGGCTAGTTTATACCAATTTCCTTCTCTTTAAGCATCTTTTCTAACAATAATTAGAGATTTGTCTCAATATGCAAACCAATGCTCTCACTAGATTCTGCGTGCTTTATCTCCTACTTTGTCAACCTCTCCACAATGTACATATGAGGGTTTACTTGATCTGGTAAAAAAAAGTTAAATAGTCCAAAACCTCCGACAGACGTGAAGCAAATTATCACTATGTCTGAAAGTAACTACAATATCGGACAAAGGTTTAAATAAGCCTCTTATTTGAAAAGAACTTAGAACAAACATAAAGGCATGTTCTGATGCTAACAAAGTCAATTATATCTCACGATGACGTAATTAAACAAGAACAGTCAAATTCAAACTAAAAAGGTGGACTAGTGGTTAAAAATTATACAATTTAATTAAAATTTAATCTGGCTCAGTAACTCTATCATATGAGGAAACAGAAATGGAAAATTATAGTAAAGGCTGAAATCATAAACAATTATGTAATTTACATAATAATAACTGCACATATCTTTGAAGAATAATTTTCTTTATGTATTCAGTTTCTTTCTTCAGCATGTTTCTTTTTCATTTTAGAATTTTTGGATTTAATTAAGGATTTCTGTTTTTCTAAAATCACTAAATGCATTTAGAATATACAGAAAAGGTGAATAATTGAATTTCTTTAGTAATATGAAATTCAGAAGAAATATGAAATATATATATGGTACCGGTTACAGAGCTGATGTGGCAGAAATTTTAGAATTTAGTAACACACAAACAACAAAATCCAGAAAATGGCAAAACTTTTAGAATTTAGACAGGCATTAGAAGCAGAATTTAGAAAGGCCTATGCAGTCGAATTAGGATCCACAGAGATTGCATCAAATGGGAAATGTGTATGATGCTTAAAACATATGAGATGGATCTTTTAAATTGTAAGTTTTCAATTTTTTTATTAATAAAAAAATTCCTTTCTATAATGCCTGCCCAAGTGATATGATTAGAAGCATTTTTGTATTTTCCATGCTTGTGTCTAGTGAAAAGTAGAGAAAATAAAGGGAAGATAAACATGTTAAGAAAATGATTCTAGTATTGGGAGTAAAACACTCAAATATTATTTATACTTTATAGATGAAACTGATGCATATTCTGAGAATTTTGAATATTCTGAGACAATTACATGGGGAAAAACACTTACTATGAAAAAATTAAAAAGAAGATATTTTTAATTAATTAATTACATAGCTAATTTTGCTTTTGCTAAGAGTTGTTTCGTAAATTATGCTTTATAGCATTATACCTTGTTTATTTTTCTGATTCAAAATATTGTATAATAAGTTGCCAAAATAAAACTTTATAATATGACAGCGGAAAATAAAAATGTTTTATTTTAATGTTATTTTTTAAATATAATTCCAATATATTACCATTATTTTAATGAAATTTATCAAAGTTATGATGTTTTTAAAAAAAATCGTCGAAAAATTCTGGTTTCGGAATTAAAAATTTTCTATAGAAACTGGTCTTAAAATCACCAAAATGTTGACAAGTTGCCAAATTTAGAACCGTTTAATTAAAGAATTCACATTCCCAAAAGCCAAAATTGTTCAAGAGCTCTTTATGACAAAAAATGAATTTCGAAATGCTTATGTTTCACTTCTTGCTTAGAAACTCGAGTATCCCGTCATTTATATTAAAAATAGAAACAAATTATAACCCATGAACCCATTCAAAAAATAACCATATAGTCAGTGAATCGCCGCCAAAAATATTCCTCCAAAATGCTAATTCAAACTCAAAATGGCAGTCGTAAAAACAGACAGAAATTTCAGATGATTAAAATTAAGGACCTTCTACTGATTTTGGCCAAAATTAAGGACTTTTAAGGACCAAAAATCGATTCCAAAAAATTTAAGGACTTTTAAGGACTCTTAAAGACCGTACGAACCCTGATTACCACATTCATCATACAGCCAGCATATAATCATGTATTACCACATCTATCATATAATCTTGGCACTGCATCATCAAATTATTATTTAGTGTTATGCAAAACTTTCATTTCAAATAACAGTGTGAAATTCCAATGAAAAATGTTTTTGCAGAAAAAGATCAGAAGATCTTTGAAAGCAAAATCATGAAACTGGCTGGAAAATAGCAAACAGTACTCATGCAAAACCATCTACCACACAATTTGCATATAACCATGTATTACACTCCTGCCATATAGCTTTGGCATTGCACCATCAAGTGTTCATTCAGTGTTATAAAAAAACCTTAATTTCAAATAACAACATGAAATTCCATGGGTAAAATATTTATGCAGGAAAAGATTAGCAGCTCTTTGAAAGGGGAATATATTTAAACTGGCTGGAAGATGGTAATGGTAATTGAACAAAATAAACAATATATTACTCGAATTTCTTTGTAAAGAAAACTATTTTTTATTTAAATGAAAAACGAAGAGAGCAGTTTCTAGACAACCCAATAAAATTTTGCCATATTCAATAATGATTATATTTAAAGGCTATTACAAATTCAGCATTTAATTTTACTTTTTGCATCGATATTAAAAATCATAAAATATATGTAAAATGAAATTATCATTACTTAAAGTCACTGATCAAGATGGTGTGCAGTAATCTTTTCCAAATATTCGATATACATCTCTTGTTTTGCACTAGCTACAAGATTTTTATGCAGATTAACATTAATAATTAACACAGTATGGAGATTTCTAGCTTATGTAAACTTCTACAACACAAAGTCATGCCTTTCAAATGTTTAAACATTTTGAATGTCTGATGCATTTGATAGCAATACAAAACGTAACACAAAATTGCATGGTTAATTAGGTACATTAATTCTCAGTTAAACTAAATTCAGGAACTAACTTTTCCTTACTGTAGCATAAAATTCATCATGATCAGAAGAGAGAACTACTTCTTTCAGCTCTTTGCTGATTCCAGGTACATTAGCTAAATTTACTCTGTTGTTATTAATTGTAAGTAGTTCATGAACCATAGCTTGGTATGTCCACTAAAAATAGAAATACATTAATAAAGTTGCAAAATTTAAGTAGTTAAAATACTGAAAATATATAATACAGGAATTAATTATCTATGCTTTTATATCATAAAACCAGATTACTAATGACTTAGAGCCACAGGAGAAAGCTGTATTTATTTCAAAAGAGGTACTTAAGTACTAGCATAACCACCTTAAAAGTCACCAAATTTTCAGGATATGCTAAATTCTGGAAACCATGCATACAACAATACAGTACAAAGTCTGACATCCAGACTTGTCCGGACTTCGACGACCCTGGATTTGGGATTTTTCTGAATATTAGATCATCAGTTTAAATCTACTAAGATGGCATGTAGAAATTGTAAAATTAAGAATATGAAACCCTGATTTATGAAACAATGAAGCATTTATGATCTAACTGATATCAAAATTTATACGCACACAAAAACTTAATATTTATTTGTTTGCTTTATTAAACATTTCTTTAGAAACTCTTTTTGATACAATTGAAAAGTTCAAACTTTAATTTCCATAAAATTGCTGTAATAATAACAGCCTACAAAAAATAATAAGTTGGATCAAATCAGAAAGTTAAGGAAGAGGACAATCTGCTATATTAACTGAAATTCCTTGAAATCAATAAAGTATAATTTTAGCCTAGTTTAATAGCATCCGCTATACATTATTGGCTATGTATGAGATTGGCGGCAAAGGACAAGTTGTTCTGCTAAATTTTGTCTTGCTTCTATCGAGCACTGAGACTATTAAGCCTGAAATGCATTAGTTTAGTTATTTATTATACTAACTTCTATTTCTTGGCAAATACTCAAGGCTTTTCCGAGTCTTAAATAAATAAATTCCCACATATACTTATGGCTTATCGAAGATTGGCGCTAGATATCTTACTGTCTGATGCAATTTTTGCGGGTCCTGAATTCTGCTACCAAGCGCCTCCCTAAGTTCTAAATTTTTGCTGCCCCTAAATTTTGGGTCCCAGTGCTTTACATACATTCTAAAAATTTTGCCATCCCTTAATTTTGTTGGTCGGTGCTTCTCTGAATTCCAAAAATTTTGTTTTCCCTAAATTCTGCTGCCCATTGGGAGCTTTGGCACCAGTTCTGGATTTATGTGAATAACAAATCAGTTATTCTTAATTCAAATAGTACTATGTAATCTTTTGGCCTATTAGTATCATTAACAAAAATATATTTTTAGCATATGGAAAGAAATTTTTGTTAAATATTTCCTCATTAACATTTCTTAGGGCATTTAACTTAAATAATCAGCACTAAGCATAATGCCAACAGAAAAGGCTACCTACCATACATTGTTATTCAATTTTTTAAGCATCACTGCATGATAAATTACACAAGTTCTCATGTGTTGAATAAACATGCAGTGATTAAAGCAAAATATAATAAATAATGATTCACCAGGTTGGCATCACGGATATAGAATATTAGTATGTGTAAAATCAACGATGTTTGTATATTTCGGCTTGAGATGTGTGCAAGCAGATAGAAAGTCAAATTATTGATCACACAAATTTATGCTAAAATGATCGTAACTTCAATAAAAAATTATTTTATTTAGTGGTGAAGTGAAATTAAGAAATGTGCATGCATAAAGCATACCCCCCCGCTGTTGATGAGGTACAGATTTTAGATCATTCCAGATGTTGGACATCCAGATGTCGGACTTTGTACCGTATTAGCTCTTCAGTTTTAACCAGCAATGTCACCATTTTCACATGTATTCTTTTGGTTACATTTAAGGTTACAACAATCTTTATAAACAAACCATAATAATTTTTTTCTTAAACTCTGAAAATATACAGCTGCAAGATTTATCTGCAATGGAAAAACGTAAGTAAAATTTCTGCAGAAATACAATGTTTGATGCCAACTAAAGGGAACAACTGCTTTGAATCTCTATTTAAAGCAATTACTATCAAATTTCCATCAGAACAAAAGACTCTAAAACCTGCATGCGAGTGGGATTACTGATTGACTTTCTAATTAAAAGGTAAACAATGTAAGTATGTAATGAATATATTTTTTTCAAATTATGTCAACATTCTTTTTCTCAAGT